AAATTTACAAAATATCTTCATGGAACATGATCTTTACTTAATATCCTAATGATTTTTGGCATAAAAGAAAAATGTACAATGTATTGTTGGCTTATGACTGCTTTTGTGCTCCACGGTCACAAATATGCTTGATATCTAAATGTTTGATTTCCACATTGGAATCAATAAGAATCGGAAATGATAAAATTCAAACGATACCCAACCCTAGTAACGCATATTTGAGAGATGATTGTAAGATCACATTTTAGCGCAAGGTTTTATAAGTGAGGCCCCAGAAGAGGAAGAGAGGCGTCAGACGTGCTGTGCTTTGGCTTTGTCTTTGTTGCGTGTGTTTCTGGTGTCCATGCGGCTGATGTGGATCGCTGTGGGCTGAGTCTGTGATGTGGGGGGGTAATAGTGTCCGATGACCTCGCTGTACGCCGGCGGAGCGGCGCTGATGAGCGGACCGTCGAACACGGTGCGGTTGGGCGGCGCTCGGACCGACTCGCGGTTGAGCTCCAGCTGTTGCTCCGGGTCCCGCAGCTGAAGGGAACAGGGGCCCTGGTACGGCGGAGGCTCCTCTCCGTCTGACAGAGAGATGGTGGGGGGGAGGTCGATGATGGCGTGAGGAAGGTACGGGAACGTGGGCTGGAAGCGCGGCAGACGCTCACGCTGAAGATACGACGGCACACGGTCCGGAGCGTAAACCTGCGGGAGACAGAGACAAGAGTCAAACAGGATCCTGAGCAGTGTTGTAGTAGCAGTACTTTATTTATCCCCTTGGGGAAATTCTGTTTGAGTGGGTTTCAACATGCGTTTCACGTAAACGACAGAAAGACATTACGACATACCAACGAAAACACAAAATGTGTGACTCTGCAGCACAAAAGCAGTCATAAGTAGCACAGGTATATTTGTAGCAACAGACAACAATACATAGTACATTTTTCTTGTATGCCAAAAATCATTGGAAACTAAAATGCATGTTTATAGTGTTTACAATGTTTGTAAATGTCTTATTTACTGTATTTTACATTAATTTTGAATGCAATAATAAAATGTGACTTATGCAACTTTTTTTTTCTTTCAACAATTTAAATTTTGACCTCTATAGTCAGGTGTGAGTTATTTTCTGGAAATAAACAGTCATCTCTGGATGAGAGTAAGAACAGTATCCAGCACTAAGTTATGCACATAAATGCAGTTATTGATTAAATAAATCATACTTCACTCATGGCACTAGAAGAGCTGGGACCATCAGAGGACCACAGACTGCCCTCCTGCGAAAAATCAGGAAAAACAGAGAGAAAAACACATTACAATTATGCAGGACAAACCAAGAAACTGGGCTGACATTAGTTTTTCATTTGTTTTAGTCACTTTAAAATTGAGTTGAGCTAGTTTTCTCTCTTTCTGCTCACATAATACAAGGATTTCAGCTTAATTCAGTAAGTCATGTTCACTGATTTTCACTGATCATTTGATTACTTTAGATTCTTATATTTATATAAGGATGTGAAATACACAATATATGTTTACATTTATTTTATTTTTTTTATCATTTATATATATATATATACAGTTAATCTAGAAGAGATTCTGAAAGCATCATTTCTCAGCATGAATGCTGGTCGCCTCTCACACATTTGGCTCCGTTTCAATCATGATTCATTTATGATAACATGAATCATAATGTGTTCGATCATGAGTCATGACATACTGCAGCATGTCATATTGTGAGGAAGTTGATCTACATCCACTAGGTGTCAGGATTTCTTTAGTGAGTCTCTTGAGCAGCTGGAAGTTACAGTTCAACTGCTAAATTATCTAGATTAATAGACACACGCAAACATGAGCAAAAGTCAGAATTATGGGATGATTAATCACACACACACTCACACACACACTCACACTCACACAGGTTTGTTTTTGTGAAAAGTGGGGAGACTCCATAGGCGTAATGGTTTTTCTACTGTACAGACCGTATATTCTATTGCCCTACACCAACCCTACCCCTAAACCTACCCCTCACAGGAAACTTTGTGCTATTTCAGATTTTCAATACACTCCATTCTGTTTTATTTATAAGCGTTTTGAAAAGTGGGGACATGGGGTAATGTCCTGAAAAGTCACCTTCTCCTTGTAATACCTGTCATACCCTTGTCATTATACAAATGTATGTCCTCATTTGTCACAAAAACGCGCGCACACACACACACACACACTCACACTAGCGTCGTGAGTCAATGATAATATGACCAAGCTGAACCTAAAATTAGAACAGTTACTCCACTGTGATGCGACGCCTGGAGTGAGACAGACATCAGCGTGTGTGAATGAAGCCGTCATGGACCGTGTGTGTGTGTGTGTGTGTGTG